TTTTTTCTAAATAAATGGATTTGTTGAAATGCTACCATGTGTCACCTTTGCCTGATTAATTAGGGAAGTGAAATCGAATGGTTGCATTCTGTTCTCTACGAAAACTAAACATCTCTCTCTCTCTCACAGTTTCAAATTTTCTTTATCTTCATCCTCTCAATTTTCTTCTTTTTGAGTGATCAGTATCAACTTCAGGAAAGTTGGACAAAATTACTGATTCCAGTTGCACATTCTCGATTTAAATCGAGTGGACTTCTATATTCAAACGTATTTTTACTTAGAAATGTATTAACTGAAACAATATTATTCCTCAAGGGCCATGGATGAACGAATAGAGGATCATACAAGTTACGAACACATGCACAATCACATGAATATTCACCAAGATCTGCAATTATTTCATGCATCATTGCAACATATTCTTTTAGCATTCACAAGTGGAATACAAACATAAACAAAGATCCTTCACCTATCTTTGCAACTAAGTGTTATAATGTCAATTGATTCACTTCATAATTTAAGATCACGTATTCGAACTCACACATCATACTAAAATAAGAACGGGAACGACAATTACATAACCGCAATAAAAACACTACATACTAGTAAATCGGCACCTTCAAACTTGATTAATAGAACCATGCAAGATTGAAGCTTCATTGATGAACAGAGTTCACTTACCAAATCAAATGGTGAGACTAGTGTAGTAGCATTTGTGATGCCGTACAACACATATATTCATTGCAGATTTACAATTCGAGGATTTGCTCAACTCATGCATACCATCTTTCTCAGCAGCAACCACATTATCATCAGTGTTATAATTACCTTCTACAGCAGTAAACATAGGTAACAATTCAGTCTCAAGAGCCATGTTTCATCCGAAAACATCAATTTACGTTCTTAACTCAACAATGTAAAAGAACTTCCTCTTTTTTCCAAATAACAATATGCAAAAAACAAACAAAACACTAACCTCAACATATTACTGCAACAGACTAAAATCTTGCTTGGCGGTGGAGTGAATGACGGTGGACGTCGCCTGCAATCAATTTCAATTTTCATCTCCAACTCCAATCCACAAAAAACCATACACCCATAAACAAACATATCTAAAAACACACACAAATAAACACCAAAATGAAAACCCAATCAATCATTTTCAAAAACGGCAAAGACAACAAATGCAACCACAGAAATCAGATTCACTTATGTACGGGTAGTGCTCGACAGTCGGCAGCCGACACCTAGAGACCGGAGCAGTGGGAAGATCGCACTTTCAACTTCTGACGTCGTTTGAAGAGTGTGTTTTACAGTTTTTGTATACACCCATAAACAAACATATCTAAAAACACACACAAATAAACACCAAAATGAAAACCCAATCAATCATTTTCAAAAACGGCAAAGACAACAAATGCAACCACAGAAATCAGATTCACTTATGTACGGGTAGTGCTCGACAGTCGGCAGCCGACACCTAGAGACCGGAGCAGTGGGAAGATCGCACTTTCAACTTCTGACGTCGTTTGAGGAGTGTGTTTTACAGTTTTTGATGAGGGAGAGGAGTTCACCGGCGATGGTGGATTTGGTCACAGAGAGGACCGACTTTCAGGGATTTCGGGACTTCGTTTCCTCTTCCTTTAATTCACGACATTGTGGGTCGCCGTCGGTGGTCGCTTTCGTCACAGTGACGAGTGAGTTTTAGATATTTAGGGTTTCGATTTCTCTTCCTTTCATTCAAGGCATACGGGGTTCACGACGATCGTCTATTTCGCGAGAGAGAGGGTTGAATTCTCCTTCTTTCCTTCACGGGATTTTCTTCTTCGAATGAGGGGGGGTTGGAGCTTGCATTTTCATTTTTGCTCTGCATATTTTTCTTCAATAATTCATTTTCCTCTGACAATCTTTCATAATTTAGTACAATTTGTTTGATTGGTCAAATCAAAATTTCATTAGGATATGTTGGGTATTTAAATTTAGTTTTAAGGCCAAATATGTCTAAAATTATCTAAAATTGACATTCTTGCAATGTAAAAAAAAAAAGTGACATTTTTGTAAATACAAAGGTAAGAGTTGACTATTTAGATGATTTCATCTAATTTAATAATTGGGTCACATGTTCTCTTGGCTTCCTCAACAAAGTTCATTCTAGCTTGTCAATGTGAAATAATGTAATGATTCTTGGCTTTCTCTATTTGCTTTGTCCCCGACACTTTACTCCGACTGTAGAGTCACCATCTTCCTCATCAATAATCAAAGGCTAAAAACCCCATCCTTGCTTAATTTCTGTTTAATTTGTTTCTTCTTTCCTTTTTGGGGCCCCAAGATTTTGGCTTGCTAAATAATCAGAATAAATTTGGGTTTGTCATTCTTTCCTTTCCTTTTCTTTGCACATGTTTTGTCAACAATTTCTGTACTTTAGTTTAAATATTATACTTTTTTCTTTTTTAATCTTTGGAATAGTAAACAACCTATTATTTTCCTCTAATGTGTGATCTTTATTCAATTTTATATAATTCAATTTAAAATTTTGGGTTCTGTCCATCAATTTCCCCTTTGCTCTTCATATAATGCATGAGCATTAAAATCCTTTTATCTTTGTTTTAAAATTTCATTTTGGATCGCTCCGGTAGCACTTAGAATGTTAGAAATTTGCTGAAGAGTTCCTATTATAGATAACCTCATGGTTCACTTATCCTGCCTATAGGTAGACATGGTGGTGACAAGGTGATTTATGCAGTTGGGTGAAAAGATTCAATATATTGAGTTATCGATAAGAGCCGATACAATGCAGAACATGGAGGAAAGAAAACATAGCAGCACCTTTATGGTGCATTTTCTGCCATTATTTGGTCCAAAATAAATGAAAAATGCCCAAGTGTTATTCTGTAAAATTTTGTCTGTACCTGTAGCATAACTGGGGAGGAAATGTTGACACAATTGATGTTTTGATCTCAATTGCACAGTAGACCAAAACTACAGGTATGTGGAGTACATAAGTTTTTGTGATAGTGGATTGTTTCCAATAGGAGTATTAAGTTGATCAATACTATACAAGATCTACTCTTACTTTTGAAGGATAACAAAACGTAACGAAAATAAACCATTACTTTGTAATATGTCTCTACTGGGGGTTATAACTCATTTTAGTAATTGCTGTTTTATTTTGCAATTATTTCTTCAATTAGGATAATGAAAGAAAATAAATATATGTAACATAAAAGAGGAAATCTTCTGGCTGATTTAGCTCATCAGGCGATGAACCTCTTGTGCAAGGGATGGACAAGGAGAGGTTATTCGCCATTGCCAGTCTTTAACATGTAATGCTTATGACATTAAGCTTATAGCTATGACAGCGAGGAGGGGGGGCAAAGATAGTAGAATACATCGAAAAAGAACACTTTCTCACATAAATTTTCAAAACCATTAATCAAATAATAATGGTGAAATTGTCTTTTTCTGGATGTACTATTTTGTAAATTTCATATCAGGGGTTGTAGCAATTATTTGTTCAGCGTTTTCTGGACCTCCATGTATTCTTTTAGCTTTTCCATCTTTTGGTTCCAATAGATTACCTCATTGGAAATACTTGCACGTAGGAGGACAAAATGATGGCTTAAACCACCAATATGATGAGATATTACAGCGATAAGGTAATGGCTTATATTGGTCTTTATCTAATGGTGTACTTTAGATCCTCTATTTATTTCTTCTTTGGAATCTAATTTCAGAATTTACACTGCATCAAGATGCTGCATATCATTTTATTGCATGTTGTTTATATCTTTGACAAAACACAATCTTATAGAGTCTCTGCAAATTTTATGATTGGTTTTGTTTGTTATTCTTAGTATCAATTGACACTATATGTCAATAGAGGACCATTTGAATTTCTACTTGTAATATGTTGCTTTTAATTTAATTAGACTTACCTGCATGATGATATATGCAACCTTGCAAAAGGAATTTGTTCTATGTCTTGTCATTTTTAATAGTGTATATGCTGATTTTAATCGTTGGTAGTATTCCTGGATAAGTTGGCTTTCTTGTTCCAGTCAACTTATCAATGAATGCAGCTAACTTTGCTAAAGAAATGTATTATTGCTAACCAGTGAAATATTTATAATATTTTAAGTTGGAGAACTAGCTACTTTAGCTTTGAAATAGTAGTAGGATCACATGATCGAGGATATTCTGTAAAATAAGTAGAGAAGGTTAAAAATTTGAACATATTCATGAGTTGGTTAAAGTGATGTCAATTGAATGTAAATTGCAAGGACATGGATTGGGATTCAACAATGTGGCCAGATGCACAAGTTAGTAAAATTGATGATACCAGTACAATTATGAAACCTAGAGGAAGAGTTTGATGACATCTAATCACATGGCATGGGGTAATAACTAATGAGAAGGATTTTGAATCTTCGTGTTATAGCTTTTGAGATGTCCCTTGTTACTTGTTGTGGCTGAGAAGAAAAAGAGGAACCATGTACTTGGCTTGAGATAAGAATGGGATATGGTTTCGTTGAGTTGTGTACCCCATAAACCAGGTATGATGCTGGTATCTTGCTCGATCTTCAGAACCTATTGGCTGCAGTTGTTTGCAGATACCTGTTTGTGGATATCAGTTATGGGTATAACTAGCAGTGTGTCAGAATGCAAATGCACTGGAAAAGGATTTAAGATCAGGGGTAACAGAAATGTACTCAAAGTTTCAGCGTTCTTTTAATTATTATAGAAAGCCTTCCATTATATATCCAATGCATGTCTTCATTTACCATAGTAGCTAATAAGTATCAAGAAGAAACCTTCCTCCTGAAATCTGCCAGAAAAGAGCATTTTTCGGAGTTCCTCTAGCTTTTTTAACCTTCGTGCCACTACCTAGCAGAAAACTTCATTGTTTTTATGAGTTAGGGTGAAGGAGTCAGCACTCTTCTTCACATACTTTGCAGACATAATAAGCTAATTTTAGTAATTTCAAGAAATAATTCTAGGGCATAATGACCAAAATTTGTGAGAGTACCATCCTTAGACATCTTATTGAAGTGCTGAATTACTATGTTGGGATTTAAAGAATTTTACATGCAGAGTTCAAGAAATGTATCATCTATAGTTTAGCTACTTAATTGAAATGGTTTCCTATCAGACAACATGAAACCTGAGTTCTCTTAATTCTATAATACAATTATTTGACAATTTTGATCACTGTAAAAAATCTTTAATATCTTATCTGTCTTGCATACAAATTCAAAGTTCTTCCTTTATGATGGACCAGGCCACCACTTACTCTCAGCTTCAAAAGTCCCTCTCCCTTTTGGTCCAGTAACCTACCAAATTCGCTTAGTTACAATGTTTGGCTGCATAAATTTAAAAAAAAAAAAAAAAAAAAAAAAATTTCCCTAAAAACCACTGTAGATGGTATGTTTTATTAATATAAAAATTTAGACACAGAACAAAAAAAATAAACCAAAAACAAAAACTTACCGCATCTGGAGATGGAGGGTGTACAATGAAAATTAAAAATTACAATTCATGCACCATAGCATTATTCCTAGTCACCATATGTTTTGTGAAGTTTCTCTCCATCTTCTAGCCCCTTCAGACTCACTACTTAAATTGGACCTTCTTTGGACTAATGAGTTTCATCTTCAGATGTATTGGATAATATAGGCGGGGCAGTTTTTTTATGTATTTGCATATATTTTCTGTGGACTGGATCAAAGACTGACAAGGAATCTTTTATGTATTTGTAGTTTCTGTTAATATCTTTTATCTTTCAGAAAAACAAAGGGTTGCAATTGATTGAGTGTTGAATGACAATAAAGCCCAAGATTTGCAGTGAGACCCACCTTTCACATGTTGACATGCAATTCATTCTCGACTCGTTGCAGGTTTTAGTTCTTGGTCAGCCTGGAAAGGAGCTGAGTTTGCACTTTGCAGTTGATGCTAAGATTTGTTGCCAATGTTCATCTCAAAGTAAGTATTGCTTGTATTAAATTATTAAATATAACTTTGTATGCCTTCATATCAGCAATGCTAGAAATGAAACATTTGCATTCTTTCCATTTCAGTAAGGTAAATTGTCAGCTGGAAGTGTCTTGGTTTATACTTTATACATGCATAGTGACATCGAGCACACTATTCTTGTACATATGAATTTATATTCTATATTTAAGTTGTTTGCCAAGGCTTGGGTTGACCTTTAGCTCAACAGAGCGGGTCTAGATCCCTACCAAGCACTACAGCAAAGTTGTTTCTTCTATCCTTATTGTGCTTTATGTAGGCTTAGCCTGGTGAAGCAGAGAATGGGCAATGTGCAGTGGTATAATTTAACACGTTTAGTTAAAAAATCGCTAATTCAAAAGGCTTGACCTGTGTTTAAATAGATTGGGTCGAGCGAACCTGCAGTGTGAATCCCTTTGTTTCTTATATCTCACCTTAAACTGTGTATATCTCCAACAGGTCCTAACAATTGTCCCTTTAATGCGCCATATAAAAAATTGATTCTGTCTGATTGAGAGCTTATTACCTGTTTGACAACCATTATTTGAGGAAATAAAGTTTTGAATAGTGATTTTTAGGAGAATGTGTAGTTAAATGGTAGAAAAAAGTTTTGGATTTAAGTACAAAATATTTTATTGTGTGAATGTGTAGTTGAAAATGAATGTGTAAAAAGGAGTTTGAAAATAAAGGCTGTAAAACAGTGGCTAAAGTTCATTGGCCTAAACAAATGGCATGCATTAAAAAACTGTGATATGCTTGGGGGACGAACTCTTGAGAATTAGATAGTATTCTCATTTCTCAGTTTACATAGAAATCTAGTAGCACCGTCTCAATTTTGTCTAAGCAGTTATACTCTCATGAAGCTGACAATCTTCTAGATAACATGATGCTCTGTATTTATTCCACTGTCATCTTTATTCGTGTATGATTAAAAGAAAGGATTGCTTTCACTTGTGGTGTCTATAGGTGCACTTTACAAATTTATTCGAATATTTTTTCTTGTGCTTTGAGTGTGACAATTATTTATTTGTTGAACTTTTTATCGTTTTGTATATGTTTCCTCAATGTGACACCGAGGAAAGTCCTATATCCCGATGCATTGGCTTGCAGGAAGGGTACAAGGATTGATGAAATGTTCGAGGATATAAGGGAAGTCTTGTCCATTTGCCAAGATACTTGGAGTAATCGAAATATCTTTGAGGCCATCAATTGCAAATAATTTTACAAGGCAGCCATAGTCAATTTTATCATATGGTTGCTCATATTCAATTTGATGCGGCAGGATTTTGGATGCCATTTTGCAGTAACCTTGCCAGGCTACTCATAACTCGAACTGGGCGGGACTTTGTTTTTGCTCCTTGGTCAACTTTTTTAAGTACATTTTTTCAATCCCCAAAATGGTTTGTTGTACCAACAAAAAATATTACGGAATAAATTACTCTTGTGGGCTTGACTCAAGATCTTATTATATCATCATTTTTTCAGTCTGAAGCATTAATCTCGGTTCTTGTCATACAGAATGGCATTTTCGCAGTATTTATCTAGTGAGCAGTAGAGCATTTTTTTACTGTGTGGTATAATAAGTTACCCGACAGTAGATATTTTCCTCGGACTCACAAAAATCACGAGGCTCTTTCATAAAAGAAGCTGGAAAGGTTGTAGATACTGTTGGCAGCAGTAGGTGGTTTCGACTGTATTCGTGTTCATTAATGTGGGTTATTGCGTTCCCATCCCATGAGCAACAATTTTTATTACATATGATGTCAGACATTCCTGAATGCATTTCCCATTGAACTAACTTCCAATTCTCAGCACCTTCTACAAGTGAAAGGCAAATCCCACCAAGTATAAATCTGTCTTTTAGTACCAAGTTTATATTCTGGTGCAAATTCTTGGTGAATAGCAGTAAAATTGTAGAAACTTTATGAACTTTTCCATAAA